GCCCTTTACTTCCAAAAAGTGATCTTCACCATAAAAAGGTTGGAGACCACTGGTGTAGAAGGTCTTAGACAAGAGCCATTTAGTCTCTGTTAGTGGAGGAGAAAGCAGTTGCAGCATAGGGCTGTTAGCTTTAAAAGTATCTGAATAAATGAGAAAACATAAGTAGGCAACTGTCTGTCCTTCTGGACCATGGTATATGTGTGAGAGGTTACCATGCCTTTTGATGCATATGTGTAGGGAGGGGAGTGGAGGGTGCTCAGACTTTCAACCCCTGCATAGGCCATTGAGACAGAATCCAAAGGCCAGACAGTCTGAATGTTCAGAGGCTTGATAGCTGTAGTTATATGTGAACCTGGGTTAGGATTCTACCACTGAACCTCAACAGTGGGTTGTTATATCATGAGTGTTCAAATAAAAGTCTGTCGTACAAAAATGAAAAGGTATTTTGATATCCTTTTTCTTTTCATTTCCTCCGTGTGTGTGTGTGTGTGTGTGTGTGTGTGTGTACTTCATTTATTTATTTATTTTTAAGTTTTATTATTTCTTTTGATTTGAGCTCTAATAGAGTTGACAATCTTATGTGCTTTAGCTATGTCTGAAGCTTGTATTAAAATTTAAAAATTTGTCTCTGAAAAGATTGTTTGTTCATTTGCTTATTAGAGAATCTCCCTGTTGTGCTGTCATAAATAAGCATTCCATAACATAAAAAAGGTTTTGCTAAAGTATCTTTGTGTTACGGTAGTATTGTCAGTGATACAGGGTGGGTTTACACATTCATTAATGCTCTTTAGGAAATGTGCATTAAATCTAGTACCTCCATTGTGAGGTACTAGAAAATGTGCATTAGCCTATTTTAATGCATATTAGCTAAAGAGCACATTTTTTGTGGCGCTTTAATGCACATGAAAGCACACGTGTAGACATGCCCACAGAATAATTTGTACAAATGACAGGACTTCTAAAACTTTGCAGTTTGCATACAGATTTGCAGGAAATTATTAGAGGACTTAAATATACCACTTTGGTCAAGATTTTAGTCTTTATTACTTCATTTAGTACTAACTGATTAATAAACATCTTCTGTGGTGTTTATAATAAAATTGGGGAAATAGTCTGATTTTTTTCAGGGTTGTAATCACTGCCTCCATTCTAGGTCTGCCATACTTTAAAAATATCTTTAAAATACATCATTGCTGACTGGAAAGCTACTTTAAAAGTAACATATGGGTTTATTCTTTCCTTTTCTAATTAGATGAAGAGCTTCCTGATTATATCATGGTCATGGTTGCCAATAAGAAGAGTCAGGAACAGATGACAGAGGATCTTTCTCTTTTCCTCGGGAACAACACTGTCAGGTTTACTGTATGGTATGTTTATCACTTCTCCATAAGCATTACTTAATACAGTTGTTTTGTGAGTGCTTTCTGTAAATGAGGTTTGAGCTTATGAGAAATTGTGTATCTTATCACTATGCAAATAACACTGATCAAGTAATTGGTTTTTTATATGTAAAGTGAGGCAGTATGGGGAAAATGGTCATTAAAAATTATTATTCTTAGCTTGTCAGTAATTAAGTAATTATTATACTAACAAATACATACAAAAATAAGTGATTAAGAAGCTAGTATTCCCTCTGTATTCGTTGTTCCTGCTGACCTTTTTATAAGGCTTTGAAACATTATGGTAAATGAGGGGACTGTATTCATAAAGGTTAACAAAATGAATTTCAGACATTTGAATCCTATCAAGGGAATTGCTTTCAGAAAGTTATTACTGCAGAATTCCAGATTGTCCGGGGCAGGGGTTCCTGTCTATTGTTTTCGGCAAACCCCGCCCCTTTCTTCAGGGTCGTCCCCCTTATGACCCACTCAGAGTTGCTCCCCGTCGGCTGTACACGTCCGGACCTCCTGCCACGACTTTGGTGATCACCTGGTTCAGTGTTTATTGTCCGACGTGTGTCAGTCCGAAGTTGAGACTCCGGGGTCTTTGGGTGTCCCACGTAGCCGAGGGCTCTGTCGCCCCTACACCCGTTCTACCAAAGTAAAGGGACCGCCCATCACGCGTGTCCCTCGTCAGTTCGTTAACACAGATTCCACAACGGAAAAGGTAAATAACAACACAAAGTTAACAGCTAGGGTTTCTCACCCACTGGGGAGTGGCCTGAGCACCTTGCTGGCCCCCTGGGTATCTCCCTGTATGCTGTGGGCGTCGGTGCCCTCCCTCAGGTGCTCCTAGGGCCTTTCGGTCCCCTTCCAGGCTCCCTGGGGACCCTCGAGCCCTTTAGGCACTGTTGAGGTCCATTCACCTCTTCGCCATGCTCCTCTATTGAGGTAAATACGGCTCCCGCCGGGACGAACCGCTCTTCTGCGGCGTCTGCAGTTGCAGGGACGGCAACGCCGGAGGTTCCCGGCTCCCGGACCCGCAGGGGTTTCCCTTACCCCGGAAGACGCAGCTTCGGTGCTGGGCTGCTTCCCTTCGCCCCCGAGGGTTCCAGCCGGCCTTTCCTCCGCCGCTGCTTGCTTCCGGTTCCTCCTTGCCAACAACAGCCGGCATTTCCTTTATGGGGCCCCAAGCTGCTGCGAGCCCCTCCTCCTGGGGACACCTGTGGAGGGTAAGTAATCCAGCCCTGGGACTTTGTGCCGCGGGGCGTACCGCGGCCCTATTAGTGCCATGGCGTGGGGTTTTAGGGCACGTCGGCTCCTCTCCTCCCCCACATATCCCGCCCCTCAAGAGACCGCCAGGTGCTTTCCTAGTGCCGTCTCCCTCCTTCTCCTCTTTGTTATCCTCCCTTAGTGTTTCGTCTCCACATCTTGACAAGAAATCCGCGACAGTGTTGTCCTTACCTGGCTTATATATCACCCGGAATTGGAAAGGTTGTAGGGCTAAGGCCCATCGCATGATGCATGCGTTGTCCATTTTGGCTGTGTTCAGCCATCTTAACGGAGCATGGTCCGTGACCAATGTGAATTCCCACCGGAGGAGGTAAAACCTAAAATAATCCACTCCCCAACGAATGGCCAAACATTCTCTCTCAATGGTAGAATACCTTTTTTCGTGGTCATCAAGTCGCCAGCTGGCGTAGGCTATTGGTCGCTCAACCCCTTCCACTTCTTGTGATAACACTGCTCCCAAGGCGTAGGCTGAAGTGTCTGTCTGTAGCGTGAAAGGAAGATTAAAGCTGGGTGTATGTAGAACTACATCCTGGCACAGGGCCTTTTTTAGATCTCCAAACGCTTGCAATCGTTTCTCAGTCCATTCGATGCCGCCTGCCTTGCGCCCTTTCATGGTCTCTACTAACGGGTTAGCCATTTCAGCAAACTTAGGAATGAATCTTCGATAGTAGCTCGCCAGCCCGAGAAATGCCCGCATTTGTTTCTTGTTCGTGGGAGCCACGTAGTCTCTGATCGCCTCGACCTTATCCATGAGGGGTTTTATGCAGCCTTGCCCAACCAAGAACCCCAAATATTTGGTTTGTCTCTTCCCTATGGCTCATTTCTTTGGGTTAGCGGTTAAGCCCACCTGTCTCAATTCCCGTAGAATGGCACGGAGGGCTCTTAGGTGCTGCTCCCAGGTTTCTGTATATATTACAATATCGTCAATATAGGCAGAATAGCTCTGGTGTGGGGCTAGGACCCAATCCATTAGTCTTTGAAATGTGGCCGCGGCCCCATTCAAGCCAGAAGGCATTCTCCTAAATTCAAATAAACCCCAGGGCGTGCCAAAGCCTGTTTTAGGTTGGTCTTCTTTCCTTAATGGAATTTGCCAGTAGCCTTTGGACAGGTCTAGGGTAGAAAAAAACTTTGCCTGCCCTATATGCTGAACCAGTTCATTGACCTGAGGCATTGGGAATGCATCGAACTGGGACATAGCATTTAACTTCCTAAAGTCCACACATAGCCTTAAGCTACCGTCTGGTTTCTCCACCGTGACTAGGGGACTACGCCAGGGACTGCAGGAAGGCGCAATAATTCCTTGCCTTAACATTTTCTCCAGTTCTTCCTTTATGGGCTGTCGCCTGTGATAAGGAATCCTGCGCCACCTTTCTCTAGCTATTTGCCCCTCCTTGGTGATAATCTTATGTTCGATTCCAGCCACCCTCCCAGGCTGTTCGGTGAAAACGTCATCAAACTCCCTTAATAACCTCTTTAACTGCAAGAGCTGATTACTTTGCAGCTCCTTCCCCACTGATACGTGCTCTCAGGGTGGGTCCCTCTCCTTATAGCTACTAGTTAGTGCTCCTGGTTCGGCCGTCTCAGGGTCCCGTGATATTAGCAGGCCCTCTGGCTCATGCCATTCTTTCAAAAGATTGATGTGGTATATTTGTCATTCTTTCTTAGTGCCTGTGCGTAATACCTCATAGTCCACAGGACCTGTCTGCTTGGTGATGATAAAAGGTCCTTGCCAGCTTGCTGCGAACTTGCTGGTTGCACTGGGCAGTAACACCAACACTTTTTGTCCCACTCTTAGCTCCCTAGTTCGGGCCTGGCTATCGTACCTTTCTTTCTGCTTGTCCTGCGCATGTTCTAAATTAGCCTGGGCCACTTGGTTCACTGTCTGCAGACGTTCCCGTAACTCCTGTACATGGATTGGGGCTCCCCTTCCCGGGTCTGGTTCGGCCTCCCACCCTTCCTTTACTATGTCTAGTAGGCTTCGAGGCCTGTGTCCAAACGTCAATTCAAACGGTGAATACCCTAGTGAGGATTGAGGAGCATCTCTGACCGCAAATAATAAGGGCGGCACCATTAAATTCCATTTTCTGGGTTCAGCCTGGGTGCACCGCCGCAGCATACCCTTTAACGTTCCATTGAAATGCTCCACCAGGCCATTGGTCTGAGGGTGATACACCGTGGTTTTTAGGTGGTGCACCTGCAATACCTTGCACAAGGCTCCCAACACCGACTACATAAAATTAGTTCCCTGGTCCGTTATAATCTCCTTGGGTATCCCGAACCGAGCCACCCATTTCATCAGCTCCTGAGCCACCTTAGGCCCCGTGGCTGTTCTCAATGGGATGGCTTCGGGAAAACGGGTCGCGTAATCAGTCAATACCAGTACAAACTGGTGCCCTGCTGCACTCCGAGGCAATGGGCCGACTACATCCAATGCCACTCAAGCAAATGGCTCTCAGATCACCGGCATTAATTGAAGGGGTGCTTTGGGCGGCTTGTAGGCACTAACCTTCTGACAGGCTTGGCAAGCCTTACAGTATCTTTCAATGTCCTCATACATACGAGGCCAGAAACACCATCGTATGAGGCGGGCTTCGGTTTTATGCTTCCCCCTGTGTCCCCCGAGAGGGTTATTGTGGGCCAGCTTTAAAAGGGGTTTCCTGTAGGACTGAGGTATAACTAGTTGGGTCACTTCCTCTCCCTCGGTCTGGCCTGCCTTTATTCTATACAACAACCCTCTTCTCAATTCAACCCGGGGAATGGGCCTTTCCCATTTGGGGGACCTTACCTGAGTGGCCAGTCATTCCAATTCCATCTCTCAAAATGGCCGCAACTCTCAGTCATCCTCCTGGGCCTCTCGGAAGCGGCTAGCGTTGGTTAGCGCCTCCATCTCTGCCTCGTCAGTCCCTTCAGACTCGCTCCCTACCAGTCCTTCTCTTGGATCCTCAGACCGTCGGAGTGTGGCCAGTATGTCATATATCTCCGGCCAGTCCCGTCCTAAGATCATTGGGTACAAAATATCCTCATCTAGGCCCACTGGCATTTGTCGCCAGATGCCCTTTACTTGTATGTCCAGTAGCCGCCTTTCTACATACGATTTCTGCTTGTGGAGACAGAGCATATGTACTCCGGGACACTGTCGTGCCTGTTGCCATTACACCAGCGAGGGACGGACCAGCGACTGGGTACAGCCTGTGTCCACCACTGCGGTGATGGGATGTCCTCCGACCCAGACCCGGATTTCTGGTAGGGGCTGAATCCCCTCCGCTCCTTGGCCTCCTACCCCTCAATCCATCGCTTCTGTCTCTGGGGTTTCTTCTAGCTCTCTTCGGTCTCTCCGTGCCCTTGGCTGTCCTCACTCGAAGCCCCTGTGGGCAGTTTTTGACAAAATGCCCTTTTCGCCCACACAAGAAGCATACCAGACTTGTGGGGCTACCCCTTCTATTCACCTTACTTTCCTTGTCTTGTCTAGCGGCCGTGACCTTTCCTTTACTCTCACTGCCTTTGCAAAGGTCGCCCTGGGCGGCATCAAATTGTTCGGCTAACCTCAGGGCTTCCCTTGACGATGAAGGGCAGTGGTATTTTACCCACCTCCGGGTCTCCTCGTTGAGGTCCAATATGAATTGTTCCAGAAGGATTTGGTCACATATCTCCTCTTTCGAGGTCATCTCTGGCCTAAGCCACTTGTTTAATTTGTC